GTTACAAGGCTCTGAAACAAATATAAGTTTATTCAATTTAAATATATTATATTTGTTTTAAATAAAAAATTTCTCTGATTGTATAATATAGTCAAGTAGATGACCTATATTTGTATCAAAAAATTTTTTTTCAGTGTAAAAAAATTGATTCATTCGTTTTCGAAAAATTTCTTCTTTATTTAAAAGAGAACAAAATTTTCTTTATTCTGTAAAATAATCTCTTGTAATATACTGATAAGTGTAAGTGAAATGTAATGAAGGTTTAATGACAAAAATCCGTGGATCACTTAAGATTTAAGTCTCGTTTCATGTTCTTTTTTTTGATAACGAAAAAAAATCATCAGTGGGACATTTTAAATTTTAGTGCGTCTCTCGCAACTCCTTTACTAAATAGTAAAACTGACGTTAGTCTTAAAATAGAAAATTGCAAGAGATATACTCGAAACTCATTAAAAGTATGTTAAAAACAAGTTTTCAAATATATCATTCACTAATTATTATTAATTTTCAAAATATATCATAGAATTTAAGGAGAAATTTTTTTTATTTCCATTTTCTTTAAAGAAAAGAGAAAAAATATATAGATAACGCACGATGCTCTTAATTTAAGAGAAGTGAGAAATTGAGGAAAATCTACTCTTTGTGTATTTTTAGTTTCTTTTTTTTTATTTAGTGAAGCTGCAGTGTCAATATTTCGAATGATATTTAGTGACAGAATGTATAACTAAAAACTGATAAGCGAAACGCGATTAGATCGTGCGCTTATGTTTGCTCCTTAGTCCTCGCCCATATTTGATCAAAGATGATGTCATCATTGGTCCATCCGGTTCGGTTTACTCTCTGATAAAAGGGAAGTTTTTCCATTTTGATCTCCTCTCCAGACTATACAATTCTTAGAATTTTTTTTTAATATCTCGCTTTCTTCAGATTTAGTTTCAAATTCATCTTGAATTATTATATTTTAATATCAAATATATCGCAGTTTAGATTACAAAGAAAAAATTTTTTGACAGTGAAAAAAAATTAATATAACTAAAAATTAATTTTTGTAATTCTCGAAGATTTTTTATTGATAATTTTATAAAAAATTTACTGATTCAGATTTTTATGTTTGTGTTCAAAATCAGTAAAAGATAAAAGAGAAGAAATGAAAAAAGAAGGTTAATGTGATTTGCGCCAATTGTGTGCCCTACCTTCTTGATATTGATCCATGCAAACATCTGGAGGTGCTCGATTTGTCCAGGTAGAGAGAATATTTAACTCTTAACGGTTGAAGTCAACTATGTATTTTCTTTTCAAGTATAATTTTTTTTTCTTTAATCTCTAATGACGGTCAACACCGTTTGTATGTGCAAAAGTTAGGGATAAGGACAAAGAGTCACATTCTCTCATATATATATATATATATATATATATCCCTTTGGATTATTTTTTTCGACGTCTGACCATTATTTTTAAGGTATAGAGAGAAAGAATGAATGGTCCATTCGCATCCTCAGGGTCCATTCGTGTAACAATTAAAATGCATAGGGTACTAAACTCAGGTATATACTAAGTTTGATGTCCTTTTAAAATTAACATAAATGCCTCTGAGATTATATTTATTATTTTATATATACATTTTTATTCGAATCATCCTCCGGAAGCATCTCAAAGGCCTTTTGTATTTAATAAATCATTTTGTCTGCATCAGTTAAAGTCACGTAATTTTTAATAAGTTTGTAAGCAATTCAATTATTAATATTTTCAATAATATTCTTATTATTAATACTTCTAATAATAATAATAATAAATTAAATAAATAATATTAATAATAATAATTTTAATTAATTAACCAAATAATATTAATAATAATATTCAAGTGCACACATATTATTCTCTCTAAATATGAATCAGTGAAAAAGTCACTGGTCTCAAATCAGTCGCTAAATTCTAGCTATTTGAATCAGTGGTTTTCACTGACAGTTAGTGATATTTCACTGGAGAATCAATTACTTTGACTGAAAATCAGTGAAATGTTACTGATTCAAATAGCTATAATTTAGCGACTGATTTGAGACCAGTGACTTTTTCACTGATTCAAATTTAGAGAGTTTATAAACTTCCTGAAATTTTTCTACTGTTCCAGAATTAATTCCACACATTTTTCTCCCAATGAAAAATATACTACTTATAAACAATCGCTATTTAGAACTAAATTGTAAATTTTCTGTATTGTAAAATATTATGTAATTCGTAGCCTGATGGTGTGTTTAGACTTCTCCATTTTTGTTTCAAAGGTTCAGGTGTTCGAATCCCAACCCAACCAAAAATTTCAGTATTATACCAGAGTTAACTACTGGCGCAGTACTGGTTTAGTATTGGCTGCCGAGGCTGGGCAGTCTGTACTGAACCAGTACTGGTATTTTCATTGTATCAGTACTGGTGCAGTACCACCCTTCCAGTACTGGCAAACCAGTACTGAGCCGATATTGAGCCAGTACTGGCTCAAATAGATTTTCTTTTTGATTAATACTAGTTTACAAAAAGTTCTATAGAGTGAACCTGATGAATCTTTTTGTTTAAATATTTTGTTTATAAAAATTTGTTCACTTTGATTTTATTTTTTGAAAATTAAAAGGGTATTTTATTTTGTTCTTTTTGTGGGTAAAATTATTTAAACAAAAAGTTTCCTGAAACCAATTTCAAAACATATTACAAATTTTTTTTATTGTTTTCAGATATGCAATAAACCAAAAAAAAATTTTAAACCATCAAACTAAAAATAAATAAAATTTTTTATTAAAAAAATTAATAATTTTTAAAATAAAAATTTAAAAAAATTTTCTTGACAACACTTGTTAAAAATTAAAAAACAACTTTTATTTTCTTAAAAAAGTTTTTCAAAAATTTATTTTAATGCAAATAATTAAAGTGAATAATAAAATAATTAAATAGCTAATTGTATAATTATATACACTATAATTATTTTATAAACATTTTTATATATATTTTTTTTGATTTTTTAAAATAATAATTTGCAATGTATATATTATACTTAATAAGGAATAAAAATTCTTGGTGTTTTCGATTTTATATATAATAAAATATTAATTAGTTAGTTGGCTGATTTAATTAATATTTAATTTGTGTTGGGTTACTAAAATTTTCACAAACTTTTTCCTAAAAAAAATTATATTACCTGGAGCAGAGATTTCAACTATTGCAGTGAAACTTATCTCTGTTACAGTTAAAGCTTTCTTTTTGTATACAATAAATAACAAAACTACCAGTACTCAGCCAGTACTGAACCAGTAGTGGTTACCAGTACTGGTGCCAACTCTGGCAGCCAATACTGGTAAAATGTTATCATCCCAAAGTTACGCCAACTCTGGCGCCAATACTGGGTGCCAGTACTGCGCCAGTACTGCGCCATTAGTAAATTTTTGATTGGGAACAGTGGTTATAGATTTTTTTTCTAATACGACAAATATAGAAAATTACAGGGAAAAAAAGGAATTGCTTGCAGATGCTATATATATAACTGATATTTGCTGTCGAATAATTTTTATAATAGAAAGAATTACTCCTGAAATAGTAAAATAGTATTTTTTACTGTATAAAAAAAGTAATATTAACTGTTGTTATTTTTATTATAGTATAATTTTTACTCTAGTAATAAAGTAATATTTACTATAGTAATTTTTACTGTAGTAATAAAGTAATATTTAATACCTATATTAATTTTTACTATAGTAACAAAGTAATGTTTAATATAGTAATTTTTATATTAAAAATTACTTTACACTCTAAATTTGAATTAGTAAAAATTTTAATTAATTGGAATTAGTATAGCTCACTTTTTGTTTTTGAATTGATTAATTTTTACTAATTTGAGTACCTAAATTAAATTGTATTACAAATACAGAAATTATTGATTCAAATAAACAAAATAAAGCTTCTTAGATTCAAAGAAAATTTCTTTGATTCAAAAAAATTTTCTTTGAATGAAAGAAATTTGTGCATTAAATCGAAGAAATTCTAACATTGATATATAGAGGGCCAAAGAAACATTTATTTGAATTAAATAACAAATTTCTTTGAAATGAAGATACTTTTTTTGAATCAAAGATAATTTGTTTGAAACAAATAAATTTTCTTTGAATCAAAGAAAAATTTGTCAAAGAAATTGATTTCTTTAAATCAAAGAAATCTTTTTTCACGGTGAAAATACTTCCTCTATGAGGAATAAGCAAAAAATAAAGTATAAAAAAAGAAATTAAAAAAAAAAATACTATAAGATGTATATATGTGACGCGCTCTGAAGATAGGGACCTTAGAAGCAAACGAATTATAGGTTATGTTTTCGATAATTTTACCTTGATTAAAAGTTTCTTTTTATTTACATATATAAAATAAAAACCAGGCTTTATTGAATATTTTAGGTGCAATAAAGATTTAAATATCAATAATTTGTATTGAAAATTGATCCTCTGTGTGTATTTTCACTTCGAAATTTTAAAACATAACCTATAATTTTTTTTGCTTCTAAGGTGCCATTCTTCAGAGAGCGTCACATATATATATATTTGATAAAGTTTCCTTAATTATAAAAATAATCTGATATGACAACTAATAGAGAAAAAAAATGATGAGATCAAAATCTATTTTAATAAAATCGAACAGTCCAAAGGAAAAAAAAATACTCGCATTTTTATAACAACGCTATACAACTTGGGGGTGTGATCACAAGGAAGAGGGGATGAAAATCCGCCTTTCTCTCTATATATATTACAGAACTGATCATTGAGTTCTATAACAATAACTGCTAAATAAATAATTTATCCTATATAAAAAATACAGATTTAAGAAAAATTCTTGAAATTCAGCAGCCAGTGCAAAAAAAAGGAGGGGGTTTGTTGCTGCAGAAGTCTCGAGTCTAGACACAAGTATCCATGCGGGTGGGGGAGGCAGACAGCAAAGCGCCAGATAGGGGAAGGTGCACCAGGTTTCCTCCGTGTGGAGAACCGAGAATATATATATATACATATATACAGAACAGCAGGCGGCAGGAGCAGCCGGACAAAAAAAGAGTGAGAGAGAGTGGGGAGGATCGGAGAGGAGCAAAGTAGAGAGAGACTAGGTGGGAGAGATGATGAGACTCGACGCGCAGGTTAAAGAGAAATTGTCAGAAGCATTGGGAGTCATTTGTGTGCAGGAACTCCGTATGCCAAGAGCTGTGTGTGTTCCTTGTTTTTTTTTTCATCATTCGAAAAACCAAAAGGAAGATTTTTTTCAAAAAATAGAGTGTGATTGTGGTGTAATATTGTGATGTGTTTATAACCTCTTTTTTGGATTAAACAATTGAAAAAGGGTTGTTGAGAGGGGTATCAAATATCGTTGAACCGGTTTTTTTTTTCTTTCCCCGACGGATGAGAAACATTACGTGACAAAAAAAAAAAGAAGTGTTTATGTTGATTCATCTCACACGCTTAATATGCTACGCGTATATTATTTCAAGACTTGTGAATAGAGTGTGGTGTAATCAGCCTTCTTCTTTTTTTCTGGGATTTTTAATCAAGTACCAAATAAGGAAAAAAGCTTCATGGACAATACGGTCAATAGGACAGAAACAGCATCTGCAAAAGGTTTGTTTTTTTTCGGAATCATTATTTTTTTCATCATTTTTGCAAATCCTTGATAAGGTGCGATATCTTATCGTATTCCGACGGATTATCTCTGACTTTAGGGATTCCCTCTCGATGAAATATAGTATATAATGCAAATATATTAGGTCCATTGTTTAAATACATGAAAATTGTGCAAAGCATATGTTAGAAAAGATTTAAATACGATTAATTTTGATCTAATCGACGTAATTATTTTATTTTTTTTATCTTTATTATATTCTTCGCAAAGATATTATATATATGTATGTGATTTCTTATAAAGAAGAAACATTTTACAAAAGTAGATTAACGCGAGAACGTGCCTTTAGACGAAAATATTTTGAATGAATTTTTCGTTCCGGTTTAAGAATTATATCAATAGTGTCTCCTCTTGTAATCAAAACAATGATCTTGGAGATGTTATTCGAATTGCTTGAGGCGGAACGAATCTTCAAGAATAACGTGTAAAGTTCTCATTTTTTCGAACAATATATGGAAAGAAAAACAGAGAGAGAGAGAATATAATATTGTCTGAAATTTTATTTCGAAATTATTCATCAAAATTCATCTTCGTATATTTGTGTCATTGAATCGACATCTGTCTCTTTTGCTAAATAATAATGAGAAGTTCCAAAATCTTCCTTAATGATATCAACAAGATCAAATATACAATCTTCCTTTATACTTAGATTAATCATATTGAGGGACTAATAACACTCTACTGAAATTAAGTATATTTCGACATTCAAAATCTGCCTTCTTACGAGATAAATAAATATATATAATTTTCTAAATTATTGAATCAGTGGAATTTTACTTCATTTTTCAATATTGAAATTTAATTATTTTGATGAATTTATCACATGGGAATTTACTCTTTCATGTTTTTTAAAATTTATTCTCCTCTCTATTAGATTGAATTTTCTTTTGTTAATTACTGTTCTTATTTGGTATGTAATTACAAATCGATTGTAGATGTTTCTTAAACGTTGCAAAATTGATGGTTTAACATAATTTTAATCATGTTACGACAGTGGAGCATTGACCTTTTTGTGTATAAGAATTATAATTTAATCCTAATAATTTAAAGTATGAATATAATCTTTCTTATAAATTAATAATTGAACTGAAATCATATAATTAAATTAAAATCGCGTTAAATTAAGATTGCAGTTAAATTAAAATCGTAGTGATTAAATTAAGATGATTAAAATAAAATCTGAATTCTTAAATAAATTTTTCGAACAAATAATATGCCAACTGGACCAAAATGTGTTTAGTTTTACTTAATAAACATTTTTGGAATCATATCATTTTTGTTTGTTTGCTCTAAATGGAGATAATGTTCTTTATGTGAGAAATTATTATGCTATATATATACCAAGACTAATATTTTGTAAGGCAACAATTATTGCATCTTGTTTGTCAGAATATCCTATTATGAAAATCATTATTTTGTATTTGATATTCATACCTATACTACTTTTTCACATATTTTTCCCTATATATACTTTTTGTCTAATTTTTATAAAAATATTTTTACATTTCTCAAAACTATAGGAAAATAATTTCAATTTTTTTTATATGCAATATATCTAAAATAACCCCCCCCCCCTAAATTTTTTCCCCCATAAAATTGTGAGTGAAAAAAAGAGGGTGAGATTTTGAAAGTTCATTGGTTGCTGAATTACTTGCACCTTGGTGATAAATTGTGAGTGGATAGTGAAGGAGGGGGGGGGGGGAGAATTATCCCTCAGAAAAGGAGAATTGGCGCCCAGAGGGTGGATAAAAGGTTACAACCAGAATTAGGGCGTGGCATAAACGCAAACGTTTTCATTTTTCGGATAAAAAGATAAAGGGCTAGAAATCCTCCAGATGTTTGATTTTTCATAAAAAAAAGATACTTAAAAACAATTACCTAGAAACAATTCCACTATTTTTGAGAGGATTAATAAAAAATGATGGGATTAGAAGATGTAAAATCAGTGAATCAACTTTTGTTATTAATCTATTATTTTCAGAAAACAGTTATAATTTATACTCTGATTTCTTCGTATGTATATGTATTGTTTGCTATATCAATCCAAATCTTCTTCTGTACTGCATATAATTCTTCGTAGAAGGAAACAATAAAAAAAAAGAATTTTTTTCCAATGTTCGGAGAGCGCCTCATAAAGATTGCTTATACATCTCAAAGATAATGATACAAAGGTGTTATCTTTATCACAACAGAATATCATCAATATTTTCGTGGACGCGATATATACACAATTTTTCTGCAAATGTTTATGATTCACTTTTTTTTTATTCTTTAGAGGATTTCTCTTGTTTTAAACTTTCACCTCTCTTTTTTTGTCTCTCTTTTATAAGCCAGTACTGCTTTTTTTGTAAGTACTCTTTTTTTGTAGTATACTCCTTTTATGACAATCAGAATTTTTTTTATAGTCAGTATTTTTTTTTTAAACAATTAGTACTTTTTTTGATAGTTTTTTGATTTTGTAAGTAGTACTCTTTTTTTGTGAACAATAGGTACCTTTTTTGATAATTATAGATACTCTTTTTTATAATTAGTATACTCTTTTTGATAAGCGCAGTATATACTCTTTTTTGTAAACAATACTCTCCTTTTTTGTAAACAGTACTCCTTTTTTATAAACGCAGAAATAATGAATTTATATATATATATATATATATGCTCTAGAAAAATGTTTACTTCACTATGAAAAAAAAATTGTTCACTGCGCCTAACGACTTGATGCTTGAAGGCCATCTTATTAGTAAATTAACGAAGGTTAGTCTCTAACTTACAAAAGCACTTCACTAATGTTCGAAATTGTTCTTCTTATCTGAAGTTTGTACTTATCGTACTCCACAGTCATTTTTATCAAATAGTTATTTTGCAACGTAACATTTTTCCTGCAATTAACTAGTTTCTAGGTATATATATATATTTTATTATTATTATATATGAGGCAGAATTTTTTTTCAATATAGAATTTATTTAAATAATCGTTATTTACTATTAGTATAGTAATAGTTATACTATTACACTGTACAGAAATAGTTACAGTTACTATTAGTAGTATACACTGAAAAAAATTCCTAACCCCCGTATGCCAGGAATTGACTAATTTTCCTGGTTACGAGAGGAACCCACTAGGCAATCTTGGTCAAAGTTAATTTCGACAATTAGTTGGAATGACTAGGGAAGCTTATCAGAATAACCAGGTATCTTAGTTACATTGGCTAGAATCACTTTGACTAATTAAACTTTAGCAAAATTGACTATAGATACATGTCATATTAACCAAACATCTTAGTTAATATAACTAGTAAACAAGGAGTCAATTCTACTAAATCGACTTTAACAATATTAACCAAGCTACATAACTAAATTGACTAGGATTCTTGGTTACGCTGACTAGATTTAAAGTTACTATGGTTAATAGTCATTAATGCAAAGCAAATTTTTTTCAGTGTAGTTACTGTTACTATATATAGTATAGTAGTTAGGGCCAATTTCACCAATTCTGGTTAAAAGTAAATCAGCGATTAAATCCCTAACCGACCAATCATGAGCGGTTAAATTGGCTTTAATCGATGATTAACTTTTAACCGGAGTTGGTGAAACTGGCCCTTACTATGTTACTAATAGTATTCTCTAAATCTAAATTAGTAGTTTTCTTCTAATGAAAGAGTGCGTATTCGTTTACCAATTGAGCTAGTAACAGTTTTGATTAATTTTTAGTAAAAAAAACTACTAATTCATGGAGTAAATCGGCTTACTAATTTGAAATAGTATAAGAAATACGACTTACTCCATGAATTAGTAGTTTCCTACTAGGAATTAGTAGTTTTTTTTACTAAAAATTAGTCAAAACTGTTAGTAATTCAATTAGTAAACGAATACGCACTCTTTTATTAGTAGAAAACTATATATTATATAATTCAGATTTAGAGAGTATAGTTATTGTTACTATATATAGTATAGTATAGTATACTATACTATATAGTAGTCATAGTGTTACTAATAGTAATAGTTTTTCTGTTAGTATAGTAATAGTAAATAATCATATACAGGTGTTCTCTATATTAATTATAGAAATTGTTGCATAGATATATTCTTGAGAGAAGGTATATAATAAAATATATTTCGAAAAAGAGGTCGTTGATGACAAAACTCGCTACTGTATGACCTCGCAAGCAACCTGCTTTAATAATATGCAGCCTGTTATAGATTTTCAGATTCTTTCAATACAGTTTATACTTAGATAAAACTATAACTTAAGCTGTAGGTACATGCGGAGTCTTTTGGTTGGGCCACGTATACGCTCTTCGGATATTTTCTGCAAAACTTTTTTTTTCATACATCTATATATCTTGAAGGGTATATAAAGCCTCTATATTCAGACTTTTATTCTTGATATCGAATCTTTTCTGATGCGTCATTTTCTTAAATGCATACTCGCCTCCATTTATATATATATTTAATTATTTATTATAACCAATACAATATTATCCATATTGTACATTATTCATATAAATTTTCTAATGAAAATTTATAAATATATATATTTTTCTGTAACGTTAGATTTATCTTATTCCTGTCCATCAGAATCAAAATCGATATGTTCCATTTCAATGGTTGTGTATTATTTATATAATGCTTAAACGGTATATACTTTAATGATGTATGTATATATGTGTGTGAAAAATCAATGCAGAATAACAATGTAACAACTGTGAACAACTATTCGATTTATAATTTGCTATATACTTAAATTTTTATATGCGTGTGACGTATTAGCCTTCAGAAAGTCTTCAATTTGGAATTTATTCCATTCTTATAATGAATATATAATCTATTTTCTAATTATCCATAAAAATTTTTGAAATAATTATTAAAAATCTTCGCTCTCTCTTCATAAAGATTTTTAGTCGATATATAAAAGAATATATTCCCAAAACAATATAGGCTT